TTCTCAGGTCCCAATTTTACTACTTGCTAGTCACACTTAAGATTAGAGATTAGGCACTAGGGTGAAATTAAATTCACTCGTCTGCCTTTCCAGCTGTTAAGATATTGCTCTGATCCTACCTAAATTACCCTGAACACAATTAAAGTTTACATCCTTGAATGAAAGAGCTCTAAGAATCTTCTTTTAAAGTGAATCCTCTATTCTGTGAGTGCCCATGTAGGGCACAGAACAATAGGAAGGAGGTCCCTTACAGTGCTGGCCTCTGAGCTGAAGTCTAGTGATGCTTTCCTGCCTCTAAAACATGGGGGATAGGTGTGTACCAGGTCAGATTTATTGAATGCAAGCAAGGTCGCCACAATAGTAAGTACTTGGTGGGAGGCAGATAGATAGATAATGGCATCTGTTTTCTCAAGGGCTACTGGATTGGGTAGTTAGAACTTGTTTTTATAAAAAATTATCCTTTCTATTTTGGGGCTTGCCCCTACGGCTCTGACATTTTAGCCAGCTTCTTCCCTTTCAGCGACACACCCAATCACTACTTCATCGTTTCAGCAGGAGAGAAGGGACACTTTGATGAAGAGAACACAAAATCGTTGACGTATTTCGGGTACATACTATAATTTCTCCCATTTAGTCTGCCAGAAATTCAGTCTGTGCCCAATTGACACCCTTCCCCCGACCCACTCCATTCAGGACAACTGCAAAAGAATGTCAGGCATTTCTGTTCTCCAGTTCTCCACGTCTTTCCTTCACATAATACAGGAGGAATTAAATCCAAGTCAAAACTGAATGGGAGGTACAAAGGAATCTACATCTTTGTTAAAAATAAGACAGCCCTTCAGAACAGGTAGGCAAAAGTGGCACAGAAACCAAGTTGCACACCAAACTTTGCCTATGTAGATTATTTCCTATCTTTGGTACTTTTATGCAGAAGAATTTTTATGTTTTTCTCCTGGCCCTCCCCTGCGACATTCTATGCCCTCTAAAGATGGGGCCTGAACTTCCTGCGTATCCTTTTTCTTCTCCCATTGAACAAAAAAGGACATGTAAGTGTTTGATAAATGATGAAAAATAACTGACAAATCATTTTGCTGTTCTGTTGACTGACTATATCAACAGAGGAAGAAATAAGGTAATTTCCAATCGATATATCAACTGTAAATCCAGGCATCTCTTCAAGCTTCTCTTTTCCGTGTGTCTTGGTAACCCTTTGAAGGTGAGAAAATGTTCTTTGCAAAGACTCCCCCTCTTTACAAATGTCCCTTTTACTCCATGTGATAATTAAGCAACAGATGCAATGCATCTCTACTTTTTTTTTTTAAAGACAAAGTCTTGCTCTGTTGCCAGGTGCTAGGCTGGAGTGCAGTGGCGTGATCTTGGCTCACTGCAACCTCCGCCTCCCGGGTTCAAGCAATTCTCCTGCCTCAGCCTCCTGAGTAGCTGGGACTACAGGCATGCGCCACCACGCCCAGCTAATTTTTGTCATTTTAGTAGAGATGGGGTTTCACCATGTTGGCCAGGACAGTCTCGATCTCTTGACCTTGTGATCCTCCTGCCTCGGTGTCCCAAAGTGCTGGGATTACAGGCTGAGCCACCGCGCCTGGCCACATCTTTACCTTTTATTCCTTACAACTCCTTAAATAACCTACACTTAGCAGAAGACCCCTGCCATTTAAAGCAATGGTTCTAGCATTCTTTTTTTTTTCAGTAATAGTTTACATACAATAATAATTTATTCTGAAATGTTCCTTTAGTTTCTGTTGAGACACAATTCATGTCTCATTAATAAAAGAGCAGCTGTCTCACTTCAAATGCCAGAATATACAATAAATTACAGCATAGTAAAAATTCTTCCTACTTTTAGATAAAATCTAGTTCAGGTAAAATAGTTTCATTCAATGTTTTAGAGTTACACAGATTTTTGTTTTGTTTTCTTCTGAGCACAAAATAGTGTAAATGATTACACTGTAGCTATGTCTGTGTAAATCCTGTGACCATATACCTGTTAATCATTACTTCTGAAATTGAACCATCAGTTTCATTCATGTAGTAAAACAAAGTAGGCTAGGTAAACTTGTTTATCGGGACCATATGACTGTGAATGTCACAGCCACATAATTAATTATGATGTTAGATGAACTCACAAGGGCAAAAACTTTTTTTTTTACATAAATACCAACTTTTCCCTGATTTAAGTTTAGTCAGTTTATAATCTAGAAATGATTGATAACAGCAAAATATCATACTATCTGTAGTGTTCATTATTTTAAGATAAGTAATTAAAGGAAGTTGGGATGGGATGCTACTTAAATACATGTAAAACATACTGTACAAACATACTGGTCTTTACTAATTTTTTCCTAACCATCAAGAGTGGTTAGGAAAATAAGACCAATGAAGAAAAGTATACCATCAAATATGGCTTCCAGAAGAAAAACCCTCTAAAAAGATTCAAACCTATTTACAAAACTTCTCAGCCTTTTAAAGTTTCATTTGAAACAAAATATCTATATAGCAGTTGTAATTAACATATAATTTTCTTAGTTTCATTCTTCCAGCTCTTTTAAACAGATGTCAGAAGGTAAGACTCAGAATGGCACTTAGGACTTTTGATTCAACTGGATTCTGTGCTGTCAGTTTCTGAATCTCGCTTCTTTGTGTTGTTCTTCACTGGAGCTGGGATCTGAGATGACTGGGCTCAAGTGTTATCTGCGCTGCTTTTCCCATGGCTTGGGTTGTAATTAAAAGGAGTCACTCTGGCAGCAGCAGTCCCACTACATGAACTGTATTTGCTTGAGCTGCTGGTTCTAGCATTCTTTACATACTAATAATTGCTTCTTATTGAAAAGATGCAAAATCAGTTCAGTAAGACCTCTATTCAATTTATCTCCCTAGTAAGGCAGTCATTTAGGGGTCAGCCTTCCTCTTTCTTCCCTTTTCCTATCTAGAACATTTGTTCTTTTAAGGTACATACATGGTTTCCAGGTTCAATGGTAATCAAGAAAAAGAAGTCCAGGTCTCTTGCCAAATACCGATGGGTGGGCTCTCTCAGGGTCAAAGTACAGAAGACACACTAGACCTTTTGCTTCATAAGGGCAGGGAAATGTTGTGGTGTCTTGCTCTGTCACCTGCTGTGTCTGGCCCACAGTAGACACTCAACAATCATTTATTGGCTGAGTAAATAAATGCAAGGAATAAAAAATGAAGTCGTAAACCAAAGCACTACAGAAATTAAGATGAGACTACCAGGTCAGTTTTAGGAACAAGAATCAGAGTTTTTAGAAGAGGGAAGCACAGGGTTGCAGGAGTTGCAGTTACGAGACAAAAAAACTACTTAAAACGCTTACCTAGATGGATGTTTGTGGTGACACCATCTTTTGATTAGATTGCTTCTTGCATGAGAAATATTGAAAAATAAAACCCTTGGCTAGAAGTTTAATACTAATTGGAGTGCTGAGATATACTAGCAGTGGCTATAATTTATTTCTGGCTTACTTTATGGTGGCACAGTTTACAAACATTATCTACAAGATGGCCATTAATTTTTTTTATTTTCAGATAGAGAAATTACAATTGGTAAAGTTAAACAGCCTACCTGAGTCAGCTTGCTAAGTTTAGAATCTGGATTCAAATCAGAATTGATTTGAATTGGTTGGTTCTTTCACCTACCCACAATGCATCACACCAAATAAGCAACATGCCATAAACACCTAGATTAGACATATATATAGGTTTTTATAATTTTTTATTTAAAAATGTTGGGTTTTTTTGTTTGTTTGTTTTAGAAATAGGGTATCACTCTGTTCCCATGGTGTGATCAAAGCCCACTGTAGCCTTGAACTCCTGGGCTCAAGCGATCCTCCTGCCTTAGCCTGTTGCGTAGCTAAGACCAACAGTGCATGCCACCACTACCGGCTAATTTTGTTCTCTTTTATTGGTAGAGATGGAGGTTTCACTATGTTGACCAGGCTGGTCCCAACTCCTGGGCTCAAGTGATTCTCCTACCTTGGCCTTTGAAACTGCTGGGATTACAGTTGTGAGCCACTGGGCCCAGCCTTTAAAAATTTTTAATTGTGATAAAATACATACAACATAAAATTTACCCTCACAATCCATTTTTAAGTAGACAGTTCAGTAATTTTAACCAGATTCACAGTGTATAACAGATCTCTAGAACTTTTTCATCTTGCAAAGCTGAAACTCTATACCCATCAAATAACTCATTTCCTCTACCCCTAGTTCGTGTCAACCACCATATTACTGTTTCCATAATTTTCACTACTCTAGATGTCCCATATAAGTGGAGCCATACACTGTTTGTCCTTTTGTGACTGTCATATTTTACTCAGCATAATATCTTCGTGATTTATCAATACTGTAACATGATTTCCTTCTTTACTAAGGGCCAAATAATACTCATTTTATGTATATACCACATTTTAAAAATCATTCATCTATCCCTGAACATTTGGGCTGCTTTTACCTCTTGCCTATTGCTGCTATGAACATGCTTATGCAAATATTTTGAGATCCTGCTTTCAATTACTTTGAACTTATACCCAGAAGTGAGATTGCTGGATCATATGGTAGCTCTATTTTTAATTTTTTTTTTTTTTAGGAAGCTCCACACTGTTTTCCACAGCAGTCACATCTTCCAGAAGCAGTGCACAGGGTAGACAGATTTGTTTTTAAATAGAATAACTTTCAGTTTTAGTATCAAACTGACTGAATAGCTTAGCTTACAGTGTCCTGGAAATTAAATGCAACAAAAACTCTAGAACTTTTAAAGCCAGGTACTATTTAACTGTGAATTAAGTATTTATGGATACAAATGGATGGCCATCCCATTTTAAAAAGAACAAAAGTAGCAGTCATTTTCCAAGAGACCATAACAAATAGAACACAAATAAAGCCCATGTTGTCTCAGTCCAAAGGTATTAGGAAAAGGATTCCCACTTCCTGAAAATAAGTAGAAGCAGGTATGTAGGTTGCACACTTACCCTGGTTTTGGCATCAATTTTAGCTCCTCGATCAAGCAATAGTTTTACCATATTTGCATTTCCTCTTTTTGATGCAACATGTAAAGGAGTGATGTCATTCTGGGAAGTACAGAAAAAAAAGCACAGATTTGATATTTTTGGTTTCAACAAAACATTCCTTTCTAAACTTTCCCCCAACATAACCCCATTTTCCCCCTCATCTTTATTAAACAGCTTTATGAATAATGTGTTTTCTAATACTTTTCTCTGACAGGAATTTTCTTCAGAAGGAAACTTAAAAAAAAAAATGAGTTGTAAGGGCATCTGTGAGGCAAGGTCCAAGCTAATTTATTTCAATCACCTGAGGTGACCCATGGATGAGGTGATGATTTTTTTTTTGTTCAAAAATCCTGTATTTTGAAGTCAGTGTATTTTTATATAAATTCAAGTGATACACACTGGCTAGTCAGTGGTTGACTAACAAGTAGCTAAGTCAGTACAGACTGAGTTTAAAGGAGTGTCACGTGACTTGGAGCCTTTCGCAGGTTCAGTTGGGAGCATCAGGTTGTCAAGGAGAGACAACAGAAACTCAAACTGGAAAATCCGTTACTTCTATACAAAGTCACATGACTTCCCATGCCCACGATTCTTAAATGTGTTTACAGGCTTTTATTAGCAGTCTTATGGAAAACCATAATTCTTCTTTTACAAATATTGGAAGAATAGTGACATTGTTAGGATAATCTGAAATTCCAGTTGTGTTCTCCTTGATTTCAATGGTAGCTACCGTAGTTATCCTTGCCAAGCATCTTACAGGTGTTATGAATGTTTCCAGACTGTCAAGGAAATGTATGCATACATTGAAACAAATTCCCTCTTTTGATTTTTCTTCTTCTTTTTCTTTCTTTTTGAGTGACAGAGTCTCATATGTTGCTCAGGCTGATCTCAAATTCCTGAGCTCAATCGATCCTCTTGCCTTAGCCTCCCAAGTAGCTGGAACTACAGGTGTGTACCACTATGTCTGGCTTTTTATTCTTGTGTAGCAGCAATATGAGTTTGAGGTCTGTTGTTCACAAAGAATCAATTATATCATAAATAAACAAGGCTCACAGGGATTATGTATTTGTAGTTTGATAACAGAAACAATATAGTAGCTATCAAGTATGGATCATTTCCTGCATATCAGAGACTACGCTAAATTCTTTATTATCTCATTTAATTCTCACAATCCCCATAATATCATATATAATCTGAATTACAATCCCCATTTCACACATGCAGAAACCGTTGGCAGATTCAACTCTTAAACATTTACATGCCTAATTTTAAAAACACAATAATGAAAGGTTCCAACTATAAGGCCGGTTGCCTTGCTGGGAGCTCGGACACACCCATCCCTCTCCCCACCTGAAAATTGCATCACCAGAATAGCCCATCATCTAGCTCCGCCTTGGAAATCCCCTCTGCACTCAGCACTAAGCTCTGCACTCGGCACCTAGCCCACTCACCGGAAATCCCGCCTACCTACCAATAGCAGCTTTCCCCGTCCATGTCCTGTTTCTCCACAGCCGATCAAACGGCTTCACTCCCTATAAAACCCCCACGCCTGAGAGAAGTCGGGCGTGACTTCTCTGGCCTCTTTCCCCGGGACCTCAGAACCTCATCCAGGAGCCGAATAAATTGGCATCTAATTGTTCTCATGCAGGCCTCAGTTTCCTTATTTTAAACTCGGCAATAAACCTTACAGAGAATAACCCTTACACCAACATACACAAAGTTTGGGCAAAAAACATAATGAACTTCAAGTGCTCCTTACCCTGGTTCAGTAAATATCAACCTTTTGCCAATATTATTTCTTTTCTGCTCCCTACTGTTTTTTTTTTTTTTTCTTTCTGAAGGAGTTTAAGAAAAAGAGAAAGAAATTTCTTGGCATCATGTTATTTTACCCATACATACTGCAATTTAATTACCTCTAACAGATAAGCACATCTCAAAAAAATCATGATACCATTATCATAACTAAGAAAGTAAAAATAATTCCTTTATGGCACCCAAGACACCTTCCATGTTCATATTCTCCCATTACCTCTAATATCCCCATTGTTAGTCTGCTCCAATTGGAAGGTCGACATATTGCATTAGGTTGAAAGGTCCTTTAAGTCTTTCTTAATCTCTGCAGCTTCTCTATCCCGCCTTCCCTCCCACTGCCCACCCTGTGTTCATTTATTTATTGAAGAAACTGGGTAGTTTACCGTGTAGACTCTTCCACAGTCTGGATTTGACTGACCGAGTCCTCACGGGGAATTATTTAACATGTTAACATGTCCTTTTCTCCCTGTATTTTATGTAAACTTTTCCAGTTAAATGCTTGTAATGATTGTAGGATTCGGTTTACAATCTTTCCACATATGGAAAGCTTGCACATTCTCTTTGCTCACTTTTCTTACGTGCTAGAAAATAAATCTTCAACGAAAAAAGAAAGAGACCTGAGGAAAACAAATGTCTCTTAGTGATGCTAGGGAAAGTAAACATGACTAATATTGCTGTTACCCAGGGTGTAGGTAAACTTTTTCTGCAAAGGGCCAGATGGCAGCTATATTCTGCTTTGCAGGCCATACAGTCTTTTTCATTTACTGAAGTCTGCCATTGTAGCACAAAAGCAGCTACAGCCACATGCAATATGTAAAGAAAGGGAGCATTTGTGTTCCTAAAATTTTATTTACAAAAACAGACAGTGGGCTAGATTTGGCCTGTGTGCAGCGGTTTGCTAACCCCTGCTCTGCACCTACCAGCTTGCAGCTGCACAGCTTTCAACTGCATGTAACAGACTGCAAAAGAGGAAATAAAACTATAGGCTGTGGCTTTTGCCCACTGTGGTCTTTTTCGGTGTGGAGGACTATCTGGTATGAGTGAAAGCTGGCAGAAGGAAATAAATTGCATGATGACCTTTAGATCTGCTTGCTTGTCTCTGTTTTCTGAGTACAAGTTGCTCTAGTGACCCAAGCCACATAGTGGATGAATTCTAGAGCTGACACAGCAGGTGGAGGGTCAGGATGGGAATAAAGGAAACACAGTCCAGTAGGAAAACTTACTGAGCCCCAAGTGGGATGTGACATGAAGACCTCATCACTTCCCAGTGTGAGTAAGGGCTGGCATGCCATTTCCCTTTAAAAACATGCCCTCACTGGTTGAGAAAGACTTAATTAACCTTTATCACAAACAGGCTAATTTTAGTGAGAGGAAGAAATCTATTTCTAATTTCGCTCTCTTCCATATTCATGCATGCTCTCATACTATGGATGTGTAGATGACAAAAGATGCCTTGAGTTTCTAACTCCCACATTTTCTACACCCCTCTGACCCTTCCTGGAGAAATATTTTATATTCTATAGCACTTAAACAGTGTTGTAAAGGACTTGCACTTCTGTAATTTCATTCTACCCTCACAACAATCCACTGAAATGGGATAAGTATCATTAATTCCATTTGATAAAGAAAGTGAGGGACAGAACTGGTAATTTGCAGATCAGGAAACAGCTAATTAGAGGCAGAATCAGGATGAGAATGCAGGTTTCCACACCCTCAGGCTGTGGTATTTTCAGGCAGGGTTCAGAAGGCCTCTGTGTAAAAACCCTAGCCTCTCATCTCGTCTAATGCAGCTTCCAATAAAATGCAAACACTTTTTATTCCTTACTCACACTGTGGATGCCCCTGTTAAGTAGGAAAAAACCAAAATGAAAGTGGTACCTCAGGGCCACTCAGTGGACTACTTTTATTTTGATTCCTCAGTTAACAACAACAAAAAAATGTACTATGCCCTACTGTGAGTAAGGCTATTGCATTTTTACTGCCTAAGCAAGCAACAGAATCATGAAATCTCAACATATCAGAAAAGCTCAGTGATGTTAGAGCTAGAAAGCCTGCCTAAGAGAACCCACGTTTGCTGCTCATGAAACCCAAGTTTGTACATGCTTGCTCGAGTGCAATTTGGCAGTTTATACAAACAGCCTTCAAATCTGTAACCATACATACAGGGCAGAGTTTGGTTGCTGTGGTAGAAAGGGCAGAAATATGGAGAAAGACTCAGCCCTGAATCCAGGCACACTCCCAAAAGACTAAGTCTGAGCCTGCATGAAAGACCCTAGACCCGCAGCACCAGCCTAGCACAGAGTCACAAGCAAGAGTAGTCAACTGCTGAGGTAAGGCAGGAGTGTGGTGAGACCTCCTCTGTGCTGCAGGTGTGCAGAGAAAGCTCAGGGTGGAGCACTAACACTAAGCAAAATTCTCTGATGCCCTAGCCTCCACCCTAAATGGAAGTCAATGGCAGCCCTCCACTAGGGGAATCTGAAGCCTGGGAAAAAAAATGAATTCAGCTCAACTCCTGCCTAAACAGGCTCCACCTCTCACATTTACAGCACAGAAGAAAAAGTATGAGTATGCTCATTTCCAGGCCAAAATATTAGTTAACTCAATCTCTCCCGTTACACACAATATTATTTACACACAATATCCAGTGTTCTATCTAGTGGGAACAACATGCATGAAAAGATAGGGAATTCCAGCAAAGGCATGAGATTCTTAGCAAAGAGTCGAAGGGAAACATGATTAAGAAAGACTGCAACATCAGAGTGAATTCCTTTCTTGGGCTCCTTAGTACACTTCACACAGTTGAGGCAAGATTCACTGAACTTAAAGATAGGTCCATTTAAGTTATTTAAACTAAAAACATTAAGGAGGAAAAAAAGTAGAAAAGAAGGTACAGAGCATCCAAGAACTGTGGGATGATATAAAACGGCTCATGAGAGCAGCATAAGAAGAGAAAAAAATGGGACAGAAGCCATATTTGAAGAGATAATGATCAAAAATTTTATTGGAGCAATGAAAGGCAGAAAACCACAAATCCAGGTAGTTCAGGAGATACCAGGCAAGATAAACAATAAACAAACTCTCCAACCAGACACAACAATCAAATTGCCAGCGATGAAATATAAAGGCAAAATCTTGATGGTAGCTAGAGGAGAAAAGACATATCTTATACAGAGAACAAAGATGATAAGTACAGCGGACTCCTCATCAGGAATTACCCAATCCAGAAAAAAAGAAGTGACATCTTTTAATAC